TTTGCATAACACAGAGTTAGGGAGTGTATGTGTTAGACCACACTCAGACCTGCACGGCACAACCTGGTGTGCAGTGCAATGCTAATACAGCTTACATAACCCAGACTTAGCAGCTAACATTCCCTCTAGTATTAAGGTATAGGAGGTAACAATTCAGATGCAGACACTATAAGACTAGATGCTTGAAGTGTCAAGGCCAAAATCAAAGCTCAACATTTGAAAAGCTGACAGGATTCAAACCTTGTCATGTTTGTTGAATGACAAGGTTTCCTCGTACTTTTCTCATGTCTTATGAACATCATTTCCCTCTTTGCTGCTAGCAGATAGTAGTCCCCCAAAAGTACTTACAGTACACTTGCAGAAGATGGAAAAGTCCACCACTGGTCTAAAGGATGCAGGTAGAAGCCTAACTACCTTTAACTCACGCCCTCAGCACTCTTTTGTTTCAAGAAGCAACTGTTAAGTGTTATTGTACTCAAATTCTGGGAATGTTAAAAGGCTTCATTCTGGCTTCCCTCTAAACTAAAATGGATCCTGGTAGTACCAATCCATCTAAATTAACTGTTATAAACTTGGCAAGAATGGTATTGTGGAAAAAGCTATGCAGCTATATATTAAAACAGAAAAAAAATATTACAGAAATATGAGACAATAAGCTTTAATTGCCATGGGCTAACAAGACAGAGCAGTGTGCTCATCAAGCAAGGGATAGAGAGAAACCAATCCAAGAAGTACCTTTATATCAAAGGTTGACCCTGCAGAGAAACGGAAAATAACTTTGAAGTACTTCAGATCATATCACATTCTCTCTGCACCACCAACCCCCAAAATGCCCATAGGGAATTCTGTGAATTGTTTTCCCAGATGCCTTGCACACCAGCTGGTTAGGATTAAACATCTTGCCTGCGGCACCTTCTCAGCCTTGAGGACTGGCATTTCTGACAATGTGATGCACAGTGCACAATTGTGTATACCCCATATGTTTAAGACAATCCAGAGTGCCAGAAACACTGTTGAATCCATGGACAGTAGTGATAAGGGTTAAAAAAAATCTGCAACTGCTATTTTTCAAGTTTGAAAGCTACAGCTCTAGAACTTCTTCAAAAATATACTCAGAAAATATTGAAGACTGGAATGTTGAAACATTTCTGTGTCTGATTTTCTGTTATTTTAAGATTCAGTACATACAAATCACAGGGCTACTTGCAGAACACTAAGTGCTAGCAAGCACTTCACATCACAGAACAAAAGTGACCAGAACTTTGCAATTAGCATTTGTACAATGGCTACAGTCAGACACTGACCTCACTGTGAATGACACAATGCAAGTGAAGTACCTCCCCTAAAGGAAAAAACCAAACCCCTAAACAAACACTTTTTTGTTTTCATTACCACCAAAGCACACTCTAAGACGAATTTTCATGGTAGAATTCTGTCTAGATTTCAAAATGTTCATGTGGATTAAGCCAACAGTTCATTCTGAACATGGTTTTAAGTGACCTGTCCAGATGAACAAATCCTGTTTGAAGGAACTCATTTTTTTGTTCATCTTTATCATAAAGACCATGTAGGTTCTTTCATTACCAGAGAAAGTACTTTGGACTTGCTAATCAGGGGAGGCTTCAACTATCCTGAAAGGGAGCAAATCCTACTCTAACAAAACATTAGTGTTTCAGCAAAAAATACACAGCAACTTCCAAATTTTGGCTAAAAATGTAATCCTTCGACTTCAACTACAAGCTAACCTTTGAAAAAGAGAAAACATGGCCTTGAATACTATAGCTGACAGCTACAGTACTTTTAACACTGTTTAATGGCTGCCATCAGCACACCAACTTATTTTGCTCATATGCTACTGTTTAAAGGTCTAATTAGATTCCAGACTGGTCTTCCAAGAACACTTCCCAATCTGCAAAACACGTTTTGTTAACAAGCACAGAAACACGTAGCATGAAAATGTTGTTTTCCTATACATTCATATTTACTACCTGGTAATAACCTGAGGATGGCAGTTTTCTGTTATGAGCTTTATTGTTTGGCGTCCATCAATAAGGTTACAGGAACATTATAAGAAACAGGAAAAGGCATAGAGCTGTAATCAAATGTAGTGATTCAGCTCAGGGATACTGCAAACGTATCCTGCCAAAATGAGTTTAGTGCTTGTATGCTGCTTTATGAGAATTCCAGTCTACAGTTAGAAAAAGTTTAATAAGATGCTTAAGTAGACTTATATATAGTCCTAAAAGAAATAATCCTCCAGCTCCTTATGGCTGGATGTAAAAGCCATTCTCTAATACCACCCTCAGCCACACAGAGCTAAGCACATTAACTTATGCCATTTTCTAGGACTGCTATTTAGAATTTAAATCTCTATTACTGGACCTAGAGTGCAAGCTTTCTTTTCTAAAAAGCTATCTGAAACTTTTTCTTCCATTTATATAAATGAGATGAGGGCCTTGAACTTACTTAAACTCCTATGAGGTAGGTAAAACCACTGTAGCTTGATCTGTGAAACATAATTGATGCACAAACCCAGATGCATTACTGTTGACACTACAGTGAGTTTATGGAAGGAAACAAGGTACATTTTGCTTTCTATGAGAAAATACACTGTCATGGCAGAACATGCAATTATGCAACTCTTGTTGGTATTTAAGAGCTTATGGCTGTTGCAAACACAATCTACACTTAAAGATTAAAAAGCTTTTGGATGAAGCTTCAGTTCAGCTGAATAATAAAGCCATACATTCCTTACTTCTTGGGAACTTCCCCCAGTCCAAGTATTGAAAAAAAAACCCCAAGCAACCAACAAGCACCCAACCACCTAACCCTCTAGGTTCTCTCTCTCTCTCTGCACTATACAAACAACTCCAATCAAGAATGTTACTCTTCATTAATCTCTTCTAGCTCTTCTCTATGGGATCTACTCAAAGCAATCAACCAAGACACATGAAGTTAGTCAAGTACATCAAGCAACAGTTGCTTTTAATAAAAACTCTTTTGCTTGCTTTTATCCAATACAAGACTAAACTGAGCATCTGCTGACTTTCTACATTGCACTAGAACACGAAACATAATAGCGTGAACATACAAACAAAGTAAATCAGTTGTCATGCCCTGCTGCCTGGCACACAATTACACTTAAATACAAGTCCCTATTACTGTAAAATCAATCTAGAGAAACACTAGACTGAAATTGTGAGGTTTCAAATATCAGAAGCAGGGACTTCAAATTGCCAAGCTAGATGTGAAAATTAGTATTCGTGAAATCGAGAGAACATTTCAGATTAAATGTTTTAGTGCAAAACAATACTCATGGTTTATTGCTGTGGGTTGAAAGATAAGTATAAACATTCAATGCACATTGACAACAACCAAGAAATAACTGATACTCTTAAAGACCTGAGCTCTCTCCTCTCTACCCTTACCAACCTGAGCAGGTTTACCTGGGAGACCAGGTTCGGCCAGTGTATTGAGTTAGTCACCAAAGCATGTAGAGTGATTGGGAGTGATGACCTCTTACAGCTTGCCAGTATTATATTAAAAGATAAGTTTATAGTCCTATATCACAAAGAGCACACCTGTTCACAACTCCTGAAACTCCTCAAGAGCCTCAACAAGGCCAAGTGCAAGGTCCTGCACCTGGGCCAGGGCAATCCCCAGCACAGATACAAGGTGGGTGGGGAATGGATTGAGACCAGCCCTGAGATGGAAGACTTGGGAGTACTGGTGGATGAAAAGCTCAACCTGAGTTGGCAATGTGCACTTGCAGCCAACTATACCCCTGGCTGCACCAAAAGCAGCATGGGCTGCACCAAAAGCAGCATGGCCAGCAGGTCAAGGGAGGTGGTTCTGCCCCTATACTCTGCTCTCATGCGATACCATTGGGAGTATTACATCCAGCTGTGAGGCCCCCAGCATAAGGAGAACACTGATCATCTTGATGGCCTCCTCTGGACTTACTCCAACAGGTCCAAGGGCTAAAGCACCCTGCCTGTGAAGACAGGCTGAGAGCTGGGGTTGTTCAGCCTGGAGAAGAGAAGGCTCTGGGGACACCTTACCGCAACCTTCCAGTACATAAAGGGAGCCTACAAGAAAGCTGGAGAGGGACTTACAAGGGTGATAGGACAAGGGAGAATGGCTTTAAACTGAAAGAGTATATTTAGATATTAAAAATAAATTATTCAAATTCTTTACTGTGAGGGTGGTGAAGCACAGAACAGATTGCCCAGGGAAACTGTGGATGGCCCATCCCTGTGTTCAAGGCCAAGTTGGATGGGGCTTTGTGCAACCTGGTCTACTGAAAGGTGTCCCTGCCCACAGCAGGGGGGGTTGGAACTAGATGGCCTTGATGGTCCCTTTCAGTCCAAAGGATTCTATAATTCTACGATCCTATGAAGGCAGATCATACATAAGCAAAGCCTAAATTTATTAGTCACCACGTAAGTTTCTATCCAGTTTTGTTTTTATAATTTATGAAAAGGGCTAAAAACTACATTTGCAAGTTTAAAAAATAAAATTGAGGTTGGGGGCAGGGTTGTCATTCTTGCATAGAGAGCATTGTCTGTTACAAATCAAGACCTCATTAGAAAGGAAGCATTGAGTGTGCCATGCAGTACCAAAACAATCACTTTGTTAATATGCAGATTCATTGGAGCCAAATTTGAGTCTTGTACTAACAACACTGCCTGGTATCATTAGACAAAGGAATATTTGCAGTCAAGGCAGTATGTTACGAAAGGAACACAAATACAAGGACTTGCATTAATCCACAATTAGATTGCAAGGAGACAAGACAATCTTTTGGAAGTTTGGGCCACCTAGCCATTAAAAACAATGACACAAACATTGACATTCTATGGTCAGCACTGCTGCTTCACTCCACTCCCGACACCTCCTGTGGGGAAACTAATTACTTGCATAATTTGCCAATACCACAAACACAAAATTCAGTTCCATTTAGATGAACAAAAGTCTAAAAAAGGAGGAAAGAAACTTACTACTCTGGTTCCTGAGGATCGATGCGTTGCTCTAACATTAGAAGTGTTCCTTGAGCTAGATGGAGTTGCCAACGGAAGAGTAGTAGAAACTTGAGAAGGACTGAAAGTCAAAGGCAATCTGCTACCTCCTAATAGGCACTGCTCAGAGTTGGATTTTTTACTAGTGAGCATCTCATTTTTAGTGTTTCCTGAATCTGCATTACCAAGCTGTGTTTTCTCCTCATTCTTGATTCTTTTCAAGGAGTCCTTTAGTGCCAGCTGAGTTGCAGGCTGACTCAACCAGCACAAAAACAGTTCATCCACCTTCATTTTCAATACAGGTTGTAGAACTTTCCCTGATGACATTTTCTACCAGTTCCTCTGTTTTGTTGGTTGAAATTCAATGTAAAGCTTTGACAATCCTCTAAATATTCCACTTGGCTTTCAGTGCTTCACAGAATCCAAGGCTCCTGTTAAGAAAAACATGATTATTTAATCTTACAGTTTTAACAAAGTTTTGATATTTACTCTCTCAGAATACCAACAGCAGCTGAGAATTACACACTAACTTGTGACTTCAATAAGATGTTGCAAGTGCAAGCCATTATTTAGTCACAGTCAACTCCAATAATTCCTTTTAAATAATGGATAATTTCTTTTAAAAGCTTACTGTGAAAATGATTGAGAGTGGAGGAAGAAACTGCATTCAGACTTTCTGAAAGAGCTAACAAATATTCTCTAAGAACTTGTGTTTCAAAACACACATATTATGACAAATAGGCCTGAAAATATTTGTAACTGAATGTGCTAAGAGCTAAATGTCTAAGTAGTTGATACAAAGTCTTAATGATAAAACAGCAAAGATTTAAGGAGAAAGTTTTTCAGTCAAGAGATTCAGAACCAAAACTGAAGGTTCAATTTTCATTCTGAGGTCTGTGCTATCAATTTAAAATCTTGCATTGCCCCCATGTGAGTGAAGCCCAGCTGAATACTCAAAGACCAGTATCACAGTTATTTGATATTTGAAGAACATGCAAATACTTTGCTGAAGAAGCATTAAAACAATTCAGGAATGTGTAACACCTAGCAAATGAACACATTTTAAAAAAATTTATCAAAACTTAGTCCTCACCCCATGGCAGAACTATAAGCCTTACAATACTGCACCACTCAGATTTTCTAAACGTTTGTTTCAGAAACAGAATAACTTAACCTCTAAGTTGTGAAAGAAAGTCACATTTTTATTACTACTTTTTCAGGTCAACACCTTCACAGTGTTCTTGGCTCTGCTGAGCAGCCTTGCTTGCCTCAAGGACATAATCAATCAGCTTAGAAAACACCTCTGAGATCATGGAGTCCAACCTATGACCTAACACCACCTTGCCAACTAGACCATGGCACTAAGTGGCCACATCCAACTTTCCTTAAATACCTTCAGGGACAGTGACTCCATCACCTCCCTGGGCAGCACATTCCAGTGTCCAATCACCCCCTCTGTGAAGGAATTCTTCCTAAAGTCTAACTAACCTAAACCTCCCCTGGCACAGATTAAGGCTATATCCTCTCATCCTATTACTAGTTGCATGGGACAGGAAACTGACCCCACCTGGCTGCAACCTGCTTTTGGGCAGCTGTAGAGAGTGATAAGGTCACCCCTGAGCTTCCTTTTCTCCAGGCTAAACACCCCCAGCTCCCTCAGCCTCTCCTCATGGCACTTGTGTCCCAAAACCTTCACCAGCTCTGTTACCCTCCTCTGTACTCCCCCCAGCACCTCAATACGCCTCGTAGTGTGGGGCCCAGAACCACAGTATTCGCGGTGCACCCACCGCAGAGGGACAATCACTCCCCAGCCCTGCCGGGCACGCTGTTTCTGGAACTCGCCGGCACCGCTCGCCCGGGCGGGACGGTACAGCCCGGGGCAGGGCCAGCGACGGAAACTACTCCCCTGCCCACTCGCCG